AGTGTAAGTTCTTGCACTTTTTGGAGTTTCAATGGCTTTACCCCGAGCTCATTTTCAGCAATTGCCGAATGGAAGGCTCGCGATATGTTCAACTCACGTGCCATTTTTCAGCCATTGCGTGACACAAAAGATTTATTCACATTTAAATGCTGGAGTGCTCGATACGATAGCTACTTGTAGTTTTCCAGCCAAATATAAAGAAATCACACTATCACGCTTGAATTCCGTCACAAATAACTTTTTTCTGGAAAATTCTCACCAAAATGCTTTTGTTCGCTTCTAAACAATATAATTAACTGTCACTGGAATAATTTTAACAGCTGTCGGACGAGTGGCTTTGAAATAACAGCAGTCAGAAGTAGGTTGCAGTTTTTTCATCTTACCCTGTATTCGAACAAGTCAAGTCAAGATGGTCCGAATCGGTCACGTTGTAATATTTCAGAGTTCAGATTTGAAGTGAATAGTATTTGTCCACTCCTTCGGTATCATCTCCATAAAGGGTCAACTTTTTGAATAATCACAATGTAAATTAAAATATATTTAAGTAAACTGACATTGGCTGGGGATCTGCAAAAATGACTTATACATTTTAACTTGATTTTTTTAGACTTTCTATAACTCTTAAAAATCAGCCTTTAGTGAAACAGAATACATATTGTGCCATCAAAAAGTCATCGTGTTTTAATGTGTTGTTTTTCCTTCGAGTTTCTAGTCGGACGTGCACATTCAGTGCAGAGGTTACTAATTATTTGGTAATAACAAATAACCCATACGGAAACGGCTCAAATACCGACTCAAACGGTCACACGTTGAGAATGCAATAAATCTTGTATTTTCGAGCTCCAGTTGCATGTTGCCGTAGTTGCCAAGGTGAAAATTAGTCTCATCTTTCAAGATGAGGATCCAATTACCAAAGATACGACTGTATTGATGATCAGACTTTATCAAAACACCAGGTTATTAAAATTAGCTCCTCTGGTTGAGTGTATAATGGTAACCTATTTTCAAGTTTGTCAGTATTCATTGTATTTTATATACATACATATGTATGTGGTGTATTAATTTATTACTTTGTCGACATCCTACCATCAGCCTCAGAAGTAAAGTGTTGTGTCAATATCACGTTTCAACACTTGGCCTTCGACTTCGGTGTAGTAAGTTTTCCTACACACCTTTACACTTTAACACCACTCCTCGTAGCATGTTGAAAAAGTCTAATGATATGTATGTCGATAGATATGCTAATACAATATATTCCATGCGTCATACAATGTTTATGGGATATGATTGTGTCGTGCATGCATTTGGCATAGTTTGTTGCAATTTGTTTGCATCAGAATTTGTCTCGGTGATGGTGGTATTAGAGTGATTGTATGGTGGTGGTTTGATTCACTTATTCCTTGATGCGTATGCAATTGCAACGTGATCTCAATATATCCTTTTTGGGCTCCTTCTTTTTCCTCTCATTCTATTATGCCACGCATCATCTTCGTCAATATAGTGTTTTGCAACTATTCAACGTCATACATATCAAATGCAGAGCCTTTTATAAAATAAAACTGCATAAATTGAATTCAGATATTGTGCACTAACATGTGCATACATGTAGGTGTATGTATAAATAGATGTATAACAACTATTCAACGTACCTGGCTTTATTAGCGGTTGTATGATTTGTTTGTTTTGATGAAAAGAACTTAGATACAATATTAAAAATAACAATTTTAAGCAAATTTTGAAGGGATAAAATCATAGATTTAATTATACCCTCAGAAATGTGGCTAGAGAGGGTATAGAGGGTGAGATAAGAAACTGCATAAAAATCAAACGCCATAATTTTTATATTTCTTTTCTACATTTTATTGAATGAAAGCAAAAAGTGTGGGAAATCGCATCAAATATTAGAATAAGTTTAGATTTGTTCGAATTGGTCACCTTTGGCTTCAAACGGCCAATGAAACCGTCACACGCTACCCGAATGCTGCTCTGCTGTATTTTGGCCCATTCCCGGCGAAGCGCTTGCTTGAGGTGATGGACTCTTTGGTATTTTCTAGTGCCAACCTTGCTTTCCAAAATACTCCAGACCCAATAGTCCAACGGATTAGTATCCGGAGATTTTAGTGGTCATTGTGCTCTAGAAATGAAGCGAGAAACCTCATTTTGCAACCATTCTTGGGTGGCGCGTGCTGAGTCCTTTTGAAATGTCCAAGGTCTGCGGTCAAAATATTTGAGTGCGCAAGGCTTTAATACACCCTCCATAATATTTTCGCTATAATATTCGGCATTTATTCTGATGTCACAATCGATTAATACGAGCGGAGAGCGACCATCGGCTGTTATGGTGGCCCACACCATCACCATGGCCGCGCTTGAGTTCTGGTGGCCAACCGAAGGTTCACATTTTCGGCTGACCTCTTTGGAAAGTAAACACTCCATCACGTACCTCTTATAATTTTAACTCTTATAAAATGTGATTTAAGAGTTCGATTGACTTCAAGTTACACACATCACAATACATTTATTAACCCAAGGTCTGGTTTAAAGATTGAATGTATCTGTCCACTATTCCTGGTCCCTTACCCCTAATTATCAAAATTTTGAATACCTATGAAACTCATAAAACACGAAATTACCATCCGATTCAATTCAGACATGGCACATCTCAATGTTTCTATCAACACAATATCTGTTATAAAGATGGTAGAAATCGGACCATTCCTTATGGTACCTCCCCCACAAAGGGTCTAAGTTTTCAATAACATAAACGATCATAAGATCAGAAATAAGCATCCGGTTCTCTTCGTATTTCACACATCGCATTATTTCTACCAACACAAGATCTGCGGTGAAGATGAAGTATATCGGATGAAGCTCAAAGATGGCACAGATCGGACCAGTTTTTCTGGTACCTCTCCCATAATGGATGAAAGTTTCGAATAACCAAACGATCATAAAATCCGAAATAAGCATCCGGTTCTCTTCGTATTCCACATCCCACATTATTTCTACTAACACACAATTTGCTGTGAAGATGGGATATATCAGTCCACTCCTATTGGTACCTCCGCCACAAGAGTTCAAAATTTTGAGCCCATGAAGCTAATAAAACGCGAAATTAACATTCGATTCCATTCAGACTTGGCGCCTCTCAATATTTCCATCAACACAAGATCAGTAATAAAGATGGTAGAAATCAGACCATTCCTTCTGGTACCTCCCCCACAAAGGATCAAAATTTTGAGCCCATGAAACTCAAAGATGGCACAGATCGCATCATTTTTTCTGGTACCTCTGCCACAATGGATGAAAGTTTCGAATAACCAAAGGACCGTAAAATCCGAAATAAGCATCCGCTTCTCTTCGTATTCCACACGCCACATTATTTTTACTAACACAAAATTCACTCCTTCTGGTACCTCCCCTTGGCAAGGGGTCAAAATTTTGAGCCCATGAAGCTCCCAAAACGTAAAATTAATATCCGATTCCATTCAGACTTGGTGCATCTCAATATTTCCATCAACACAAGATCTGTTATAAAGACGGTACAGATCGGACCATTCCTTCTGGTACCTCCCCACAAAGAATAAACATTGTGAATAACCAAACGGACATAAAACCCGAAATAAGCATTCGGTTCTCTACAATTTTCACACATCCCATTATTTCTACTAACACAAGATCTGCTGTGAAGATGGGATATATCGGTCCACACTTTCTGGGACCTCCCCCACAAGGGGTCAAAATATTGAGCCCATGAAGCTAATAAAACGCGAAATTAACATTCGATTCCATTCAGACTTGGCACCTCTCAATATTTCCATCAACACAAGAAGAAGTGAAGATGGAATATATTGGTCCACTCCTTATGGTACCTCCCCTACAAAGGGTCAAAATTTTGACATTATTTTCACTGAAAATTGGATATATCGGCGGACTATTTATGGTACTTCCCCCACAAAGGGTTCAAAATTTTGAAAAACAAAACGCTCATAAAACTCGAATTAAGCATTCCATGTGAAGATCTACAGATCTTTTTTGAGAAGATCTAAAGGTCTTCTATGAGAAGATATACAAAACTTCTATGAGAAAATCTACAGATCTTCTATAAGAAGATCTACAGAACTTCTATTAGAAAATCTACAGATCTTCTATGAGAAGACATTTAGAGATCTTCTATAAGAAAATCTTTACAGAACATCCAGAAATTCTCGCAAACGGTAAATCTTTGGTGAAGATAATATATATCTTCCTACCCGTTCTGATACTTCAATCACAAAGGGTGGAAATTTCCAATACTTATATCTGTCATAATTGCGAAACAAGTCGGCGATTCTATACAACTTGCTATATCTAAATATTTTGGTCTGTTATATCTGGTAACTCACACATAAAGTATAGGAAGTGGACGAAATAGTCCATATATGGCACGTTGAAATATTTATATCAGACTTAGGTCAGATACGAAATAATAAAAAAATAATATTGGTCAACTGCTTCGGAACCTCCCCCATAAAGAGTCAACAGATTGTATAATCATAACTCAAGGCTGGGGGTATACATATGTCGGCAAAACCGGCTGATACTACTTTCCTTATTTGTTTTAAAAACAGATTTTTTGATAAAAAGAGATTTCAGGACAATATTAAAACATAGAGATTTTAGCACGTTTTGAAGGGATAAAATCATAAATTAATTTGTTTCTATAAAATAATTAGTTGCTTTGCTTTAAAACCAGTCATCCATAAAATTAGTTGCCCTATTTTCCAACAAATATTTCTTATTGTTACTATGGAATTGTAAATAAAATTCAAACCAATTATATTAAGTAGTTCTTTACAAAGAATAAAAACAATATATTGCAGAACAAAACCATCTCAACATCTTCCACTCTAATTCGCCTTTAAACTTTGTGACTCTTATTTGATTTAGTTTTCCGCATTAAATATTTCTAACACCCATTTTCTTATTCGTTTCTCGTTTCTGTTCCAATTTCTTTTCAGCAGCAACAAATCTCAACGAGTGATACCAGCTCAACGTCACGCGACATCAGCAGTGCAACTACAACAACAGCCAGCAATGATGGCATTAGCGAAAGCATTGGCACCGATGGCAGCAATAGCTGTCGAAAAGGTGCTGCAAAGTTTTTATTAAGAAAACGTAAAACCAAGAAATCTCCAAAAGGTAAGTAACAATACTTGGCCGGTTGCAAATCGTTGTAGTTTCTATTTCCCCCCTATTTATATCCGTTTTTTATTGCCTCTGGCAATGGGCGACCCTTTAGGCAAATTGAATGAGTGAGCGACTGTAGCCAAAGAAATCCCCAGCCAACCGAAATGACAAGGGTTTCAATTGTGGCGCAAAGTAGCACCGGCAGCCATAAATTCCATTGCTCGCCGCATCTGCCACCTATTCCCGAGAAATTTGCCAACTTTGGAGTTGGCAATAAATTAAAAACTAATTAGAAAAAAATGAAATGAGTTTTTTCTTCGTGCAAATTACTTTTCTAGTCGGCGGTTTCTGGCTATTGCAAGCGGGATTTTCTTTTGTGGTTTTTTAATTAATTAAAAAAGTGGTCCAGTAGGGGATTGGTCGACGTGTCCCGAAAATAGGGAGACGTTTATTGAAAAAAAAATAATAATAATAAAAGGGAGCAGAGAAATCTTAATCACCTACACCATTGGGGAAATGTTATTTATAGCTTCTTTAAAAATCATTTAAATTTACAGATAATATACAGATCTTCTATGGAAAGATATGTTGTGTTAAAAAATATTTTTTTAGAATAAAGAATCTAGTATTTCTTTTACAGGATATCCCATTGCTGATTAGAATAAATTCCTTGTAGACAATTTTTTTATCCGACGCGTTTGTCTCTTTCTTTATTATTTGCCAACTCAATGAAATAATATGTTAAAGAGGCCAAGTGACAGTCATTGCTGGATAATAATAACAAAATCTTAATTTATTTTTGTATCCCGCCCACACATATTATATCTCGATTACAATTTTATGCCCTCTAACAGCACTATATCAAATTAACATCCCTCACAGTTGACTAATTAAGTTATACTATAATTCGTTACTAATGCCACAAATTCTCTTCTCACTCATCGGTCGTCCTCCATATTCAGGCTCTATCTGACCCAATCTATACAAAAAAAAAATATATGTTATCTTTATTATCCAAAAACTGTAACAGATATTTCATTACAATTGCTCTATGGTTCTTGCAAAATTTATTTCTAATTCTGCTACTTCTTCTTCTCTTTCCTTCTTTTACAGAAACTAAATCCTTGAAATCTCAGGAGAAGCCCTGTGTTAAATGTGTGGTTGTTGGTGATTGTGCCGTGGGGAAAACCAATTTGATACTCTCCTATCTTGAGAATCGTTTCAATACCGAACATGTGCCTACAGCATCAGATATTTATAACGGTAAGTGAAAAAAGGGACGTTTTTATCCATAAAGCCCAGGGTGGAAAATGAAGGGGCGAAATGTGAAAGAGAAGATGACCGCAAAAAAGCAACAGTACAAGAAAAAAAGACACGATTCATAGAAAAATGAAATCATAATTTATGTATAACATTCATTTGTCTTGCATTTCAGTTTTTTCTCTGGTCATATTGTAATGGTTTTACTTTCTTATATGCCTTCCATATGTATAAGTGGTGGATTTTGGGGAAAAGGGAGAGTTTTGCTTTATTTTAGTTACATGTACAGTGGACAGTGGTCAAAAGGCGCAGTTTCAATTGATGAAGTGTAAATTTTTTCACAGACATCACAAGTTTTGTAAATTTCATTCGAGTAGGCATTTTTAACGATTGTTTTTATAGTTTGTATTGTTTCGCTATTATAGTCCAATATTTATAGACAAATCGAAACAATAAAAATTTCTACCCACTCACCATATAAAAATAGTATGACATGTAGCACTCTGTGTGTCCTGTCTTATTTTATATCTCTCTAGTTTGCATCATGTACAAGGTGGCGCAAAAGTTATCCTCCTAACAGAAAGTGCTATAAATTTTACGATTGACCCCTAATATCTTAATTACAGTCAAAAAACATTGGAAATTTACTTTGGCGCCACTTTGTACATGCATATGTAATTGACAGACATTTCTTGACGTATTCTTCATTAGGATTTAAAGTATCAAATTACAGACATTTCAGCTGACAAATTTGGCCAGACCTGTTAAATCAACTAAAATTGACCTGTACCTTTATATTGGGCTATGTTTCGAAGTGGAAGATAGAAAGCTCAGTTAGGGCTAATTCTGTAGCAACTATTTAAAATTAGAGGTTATTCTAATATGGGTTAGATTACAAATACTTTGCTTCAATATTTTCTTCGAAGATGGATGAAATCTGGAAATGCCATTTGATTAGTGATTTAGTCGGGATTTGTATATAACCTCTAAAATGCCAAAAATTGGGTGGTATGGGGGACTATACCTAAGCAGTGATCGATATTTTAAGGGTAATGCCTGTTCAGTGTTTTAATTAGTCAATCTTTGATATAACTTGCTATATCACCATGTTAACAAGTGGACATATGGATAGATAACCAGCCATGTCTTATATTTTTACATGAAATTCTAAAAACTACACGTTACTTTAGGTCTCGTCTTAGCTCTAAAGTTTAGAATTTCGACCTCTTCCCAGCATATGAAGGTACTGATATATGGGACCTATACGAAGACCTGGACCTGGCATAGACTTTAGTTCCCATTAAGAACATTAAAAAACGAATATTGGTGAAACAACTCAGATGAATAATGTCGCTACCGTTACCGCTACACGAAAACGTGGGCCTGCATACATAATTTGTCATAGGCTGTAGTACCCATTACGAACTCTAAACAAGAAATTTGCAACCTCTTCGGTGAATAATGTCCCTAAAATCGTCAAAATATCGAATAAAGGGGGGGGGGTCGGTACCGTTGTAAGTGTGCTATACGATATCGTGGACCTATATGGACAATACTCTTCTATGGGTTAAAGTACTCAGAAAGAACTACTTTCGTGGATTTTCAGACAATTTAATTGAAAAATTTGGCTGCATTCATCAAAATACCGAATATCGGGGGTATATGGGACTATACGATATCGTGAACCGATATAGCTCATCGTCGAACTTGACCTGCCTGCAGATTAAAGACTTATCTGTGCAAAATCTTACCTTCCTATCTTTATTCGTTTTGACTCTAGCGTGATTACATTGACGAACGCACGGACGGACAGGGTTAAATTGTCTTACAATTTTACGCTAATCAAGAATATACATACAGGGTATCTCACCCTCTCTCTCAAAAAACTGCAACAATTTTTTTAATTTTAAAATTATAAATGAAAGCGAACAAAGTCGGAAATATAATCAAATTTTAGAATAAGTTTAGATTTGTACGAATTGGTCAACTTTGGCACGAATTATGGCCTTCAAACGGCCAATGAAACCGTCACAAGCTGCCCGAATTTTGCTCTGCGGTATTTTAGCCCTGGGAATGGGAAGCAATTGCTTTGGGTGTTTGACACTTTGGTATTTTTTAGTACCAACCTTGCTTTCCAAAATACTCCAGACATAATAGTCCAACAGATTGGTAGTCGGAGATTTTGGTGGTCATTGTGCGCTGGGATTGAAGCGAGGAGCCTCATTTTGTAACCATTCTTGGGTGGCGCGTGCTGAGGGCGATGGTGCTGAGTCCTGTTGGAATGCCCAAGGTCTGCGGCCAAAATGTTTGCGTGCTTTGGAGGCTTTAATACACCCTCCAGAATATTTTCGCGATAATATTCGGCATTTATCCTGATGCCACGATCGATTAATACGAGCGGAGAGCGACGATCGGCTTGAGTTCTGGTGGCCAACCGAAGTTGCACATTTTCTTTGGCAAGTAAACACGATCATTTTGTTTGTTTACAAACTGCTGGACAACGAATGTTTTCTCATCGAAGACAGAGAAAACCAAATACGGCAGTTCACCACTTTCGGCCAAGCGAAGCAACTCTTTAGCTCTTTTGAGTCTATTTCGTTTCTGTTGCGGTGTAAGTTCTTGCACTTTTTGGATTTTCAACGGCTTTATCCGGAGCTCATTTTTCAATATTTGCCGTAAGGAACATTGCGATATATTCAGCTCGCGAGTCATTTTTCGGCCATTGCGACACGGGTTTCGATTAAGTCGCTTCTGTACTTTTCGAACCATTTCTGCTGATGTTGCTGTTTTCTTTCGTCCACTTCCTTGGGCTACGCTACCAGTATCACGGTAACGAGCAATGGTACGAAACACAAAAGATTTATTCACATTTAAATGCTGGAGTGCTCTAACGATAGCCACTTGTGGTTTCCCAGCCAAATATAAAGAAATCGCACTATAACGCTTGAATTCCATATCCAATAACTTTTTTTCTGAAAATTCTCACCAAAATTCTTTTGTACGTTTGTAAACAATATAATGAGCTGTAACTGGAATAATTTTAACAGCTGTCGGACGAGTGGCTTGGAAATGGAAGCAGTTTAAAGTTTTTTCATCTCACCCTGTATTGAACGCCAACTGATTAATATTAGTCCAAGTGGGACCCATTAAGCCAAAAATCAGCCTCTTCGCTTCAAAAATTTTTTTGATTAAAAAGAGGATTTTCGACTAACTTTCCAAAAGCTAATTCACCAAAAAATCTGCAATTCGTAAGGTCCTTCAGTTTTAATTCTTACATCAGCTGTATTTTGGAATGCTTCACACCCAAATCTTTCAGCTAAATTCACTAACAGAGGCCCAGTAGTTCACTAACAGACGCCCAATTGCTGCGAATGATTATTAATGGTTATCATTAACACTGGCCGATACATCTGCGATATTTTCTTCAGTGCGCACTCAACGTAGGCGTGTTGGTGGTTTAATGCTTAACAGTTTAAATTTGGTGCGAAATTTAGTCACAATAGACAGAATACCTCCTTCAGTGGAAACTTTCGATAAACTAAAAAAATACAAATGATTGCAGGATTTGTTCGTTTTTAAGGCGATTCATGGGAACATTTTTGACCCAAACTGAAGATGTTTGACAGTGGAACGAAACATGAAACGTACGTGAAGTGTTTAATCCAGTGTTTCCAAAAAGATAACGACTAAAATATCACCCTTTAGATACAACACACATGTTCGAAATTTTCGTTGAAAATCATGTCCTAAAGAGAGCAAACAGTATACTAATGGACAATATCGAACTTTTCCTTCTCAGACCTCCCCACAAAACGTAATTTCAAAAGTAATACCTAATATAAGTAAAGAAATCAGCGCCAGATTTTAATGGACTCTGCCAGTAAGTTTAAGTCATATTCTAAGTGTATATATCTGCCTGCAATCTGACTGATATTTTCAAGCTTGTTTTCGTATATTTTAAGGCATTTTTTATTCGTTAGAAAAACAACTTTTATTTTTTATTTTATTAATCTAGATATCAATTGTTTCTTGATTCCTCTCAAAACACTGTACACTCTCTTTAACAAATTTGGATATAGCCTATGTATATGTAGTGTGTACTTCTCAATGGTTTTATTCGTATTTTCCCATCTTCAAATTGCTAAAACACTAAAAGAATATTCACTCTAACCAAATACCAAAACTAACTGAGATTTGTTCAATTTTTTACGATTAAGGGGAAGTGAGACGGTTTTTGTGAATTCTTTTACTATCATCAAGTAATATAAGAAAGCAATTTGTAAACATCAATTTTTTTCTATGGCCTCGGCTGGTCTATGAATCTCGTTTTTTTTTTCTTGCCTTTTTTCAGCTTTCTTTCAGATTTATATTACTGTTGTCTGAAGGCCTACTAGATTTTTTTGTGTATGTTTTTGTTTGTTTTTGGCTTTCTTTTTCTTTTTGTTCAAATCGCCCCCCATCATCCTTAAAATAATAAACTCAATATTTTTCTATGGGAAGTTGTTGATTGAAGCATGGACTATGGAGATGTATTTGGTTATCTTTTTTCGTAGACTTTATTTTCCGGTCTGTTGTTTATCGTTTTATATTTTGACCATGAATGTGATGATGTTTTATATTCGCCTTTTTATAATATTTCGACTTAAATGTTTTTCAAGCGGGTTTTCACACTCACTTCTCGGGGAAATTGGCAACCGCCATTCGGACTGCAATTTATTTATTCATTCGTTTGTTTAGTCAGTCAGACAGACTCACATTTATTTGGTAGGTGGTTTTTTTTTTCTCATTCATACATTCATGACATAAATCCTTGTTAACAATTTTGAATCGTTTAAAAAAAAGAGAGGCATGAATTTACACTATTCACTCATCTCTTTTTTGGTAGTTCAGATTCTTTCACTTTTCGTTAAATGATAAATTGATCCTTTTTTATGCAGCCATCCTTTTTTGTGAAATGAACAATTTGTTCGTATGTGTGTGTGCTTTATGACACAGATACAAAG